TAGTGTGGAACAATAATGTGCGTACATTTATTATGTTGCTTATTCATTGGAATGACAGTAGCCACTCAAGTGTGTTGCGGTGAAGCAACGTAATTGATGCCTTTAGCCTTCAATGTTTTGATCGTTAATAATCTTTTTATGCACTGGAAGACATATTAAATATTACGTATAAATATGTTAATCAAAAAATCTTTTACTCGATCCCCAATCTACTACAATCTTAGAATAATGCGTTATTATTGTAACACTACACCCTAAGCTCTAAATAAATTTCTACCGAAGCTACTCTAATAAAATTTATCAAAAATTGTGTCTCCTTAGCTTAGATTAGACCATTAAATCGATGATCGAATGACAACGTGGAAAAGGTACTGTATTACTGAGCCACATACAGTGAACCAAGTACATTGTGTCTAATGACACCAGGCGATATTCCAACCGTCGTACCTACTCAGATTTTAAGTTTCAGTTTTAAATTTTAAGTTTAAGATAAATAGAGAAATTATATAATTATTATTATAATTATACAATATGTAACGTAATTAACGCACACCCTCAGACACCCCAATTAGTATATTATGTTATAATCATAATACATACACTGATTTTTTAGTTAAACATTTTTATGCACTGATTATTTATCAAATTAGTTATAGTAATTCCGGAAGAATGTTGTGGTCACAGTACAATCCACAAACGCAAAGACTTTAACGTGCTTGAAATAAAGTTCATTTTTCTTTATTTTTATTGAATGACAAAATTAGTAATAATACAAATAAAACTGCACTCTTAAAAGTCTTATTGCCTTAAGTTACGGTCCATTTCAGTTTGTTTTGACCGTACAGATTTAGTGTGACTGTAATTTACGTAGTTTTAATAATTTTTGGAATAAAAAATTACCTATATTAATAATGATAGGAATCGATTCAGTAAACGATTCTAAACAAATTACTTTCTCAAAGTGCGTTAATTATGTTACATGTTGTATAATTTAAGATAAATAGGGAAATTCTAAATAGGGCATGAAACGAAAGGGATCAACAGCTGGCCGAATTTATGAACGATAGACTCTTCATGATGAACTTTTCCAGAAGCGGCCTCACATGAAGTGGATCTGGTCAAGTCCCGACGCTGCTGCAATACGATTGACTTCATTATGACGACTAGATGGCAACTGTTCCGTGATGTCACAGTGATCGTGTGAACACTTAAATAATTATAAGTTTAAAACGTAAAGGCGCATTAGAGTGCAATGAATTTAGAAACCAAAAATAGGATCTTGCATTTCTAACTCATTCCCAATTACGAAAGAAGTAAGGAAAGTGTAATTGCATTTAAGATTTAGTTGGTTCACAATAGTCGAAGTAAGCAAATGAATGTAAGGGAAGAGAGAGCAATGGGAGTCAGCGGGGCAATGGTGATAGCTAAATAAGTAAATTTTATTATTTTATAGTTTAAATGAAGATTTTGTTGTGAAATAAACTTTTATATGAAGTAGGAAAGAGTGACAACGAAAATTTATGTTGCAGAAGTGAATAGCAGAGTCGTAAAGGGACGTCCTAGGCGAAAATTTATCGACCAAATTGGCGATTTATTGAAAACGGGCCAAATTAGGAGTACCCTTAACCGACGAGCATGTATGCGACGAGGTGTATGGATTGTGAAGGAGTCGAGAGAGGTGTGTCAAGATCGTGCCAAATGGAAGTCTGTAGTCTCTGCCTACCCCCCTGGGTGACAGGCGTGAGTGTTTATTCCCGCTTAAGTGACTCCCATTACCCTCTTTTACGTTACGCATGATTTTATTGTGTTTAAATATTTTTATTTATTTTTTATTTACGGAATGAGCGTGACAAACGAGCACACAGCCCAACTGATGGTAAGTGGATACTGTGGCCCATAGACGTCTACATTGATCCTCGATTGGAAATCAAAACGCAGATGCGTTGTCACCACTGAGGATTAAGATGGACTGCCTTGTTTTCCGTAAAAAGGGTCTCCGGATCTCTAAACTTACCATACGAAACACAGCACCTATTAACCCTTTCACAGCGGAGATTTTAGGACGGGGTTCGTGTGCTGCTATTTTACGCAGGTACTCTGTGATAGCGTCGTTCTTCACCGGTCAAGCCGACCCATTCGTGCTACAACCATAATATATAACTGCAGCGTGGCTCTACCTCATATAAAATGTTATAAAAACATGGCCTTAAAAAGAGTTATGATAAATGTACCGGGTTATAGCTGCAAGAGAATCCACTACCACATAATATGATCTCCTGTTTGTCGTTAGAGCCGACAGGTGATGGTTGTAGAACGAATGGGTCGGCTCGACCGGGGAAGGACCACGCTCTCACAGAATACCAGCGTAAAATAGCAGCTTAATACTGCAGTGTTCCGTATGGTCATGGTGGTGTAGAGATCCGCAGACACTTTTTAATGGAAACGAGGCATTCCATCTTAGTCCTCAGGGGTGACAACGCATCTACGTTTTGTTTTAGTTGTCTATGAGCCTCAGCATCCACTTACCGTCAGGTGGACTGTGTGCTCGTTTGTCACCCTTATCCTATAAAAAAATACCAGAGAGTCCTTTATTTGAATACCTACAAAATATAAAAATTGAAAGTGTTCATAATAAAATGAGCTGATGTAGTATAAGAAAAATCAAGTTAATAGAGTAAGTTACTCGATTAACTTCGCATTAAAGAAAATATAACAAACACAAAAAAATAAGTAAATATTTAAATAAAAAATAATTTAATTATTTATTTTTTGTGTTTGACACTGTTTTTTTGATGTTCATACCCTGCGAACCATAGAATAATATAATACACAATTTACTATAATACAAATTTATGTATGTGTATTATAGTATTCTATGCTGCGAACCATTGTTAATATATAGAGCCGGCAACTCGTGAATACATTTAGACTGAGTGACCGTACATTATTTGTACAGTTCATAAATATAATAAAGAATATATTTCTATGTTACAGTTACTCAAAAACTAAGCAGTAAAGTTTCCTTCCTGTAAGTTGAAAAAATTTTTGTCTAACTACAAATTCTGGCTCTATTTATGACAGGATTTTTTTTAATTCCATGTTGGCCCCTTGAATGCACCCGATATTGTGTAATCAATTGAATTCGACTCTAATGTTCGCCAAAAAAGTGTGCAGGTACTGTATATTAGTGTGCTAAGATCATCTGAATAGATGCAGTCTCTTCCAATAGTGGTAAAATGCCTTTATACTCTTTTGTCCTAAACACGTACCAATAAGTACTTTGTTTTAAGTTAAAAAATGCCATGATAATCAATAATTTTCCTAGTGGAATTAAATCCCTACATTAAAGTAGATCAGGTTATGCATATTAATAATACTTACTTATAAATTTGTAAACTAAATAATACATATTTTTTAGCATTGAGTGAGAAACGAGCACACAGTCCACCTGATGGTGTGTGGATGCTGGGCCCATAGACATCCACATTTATCCTCAATTAAGAATCAAAAATCAAAATGCAGATGCGCTGTTACTCCTGAGGACTAAGATGGAATGCCTAGATTCCGGTAAAAAGGGTCTCCGGTTCTCTACACTCACCATACGAAACACAGCAGCATTAGCTATAGCTGCTATTTTACGCTGGTATTCTGTGAAAGTGTGGCCCTGCCCCAGTCGCGCCGACCCATTCGTGCTACAACTATAATATAGCTGCAGCATGCCTCTATTCTACCACGTAAAAAATAATACGTTGTGGCAGAATATCGATACCCTTTTGTGGTTATGATATTGTTTATCGGTGACCTCCGCCGTGTACTTATAAACGTCAAGTAATAATATGAACATGCAATTTACTAAATGGCAAAACGAATTATGTCGACGCTCTTAGAACGTTCGAATGCTTGTCGCTGCTCGGCCAGCTGATTCTTTAGATATCTATTAGATATTCAGGAGAAACGTAAGCTCAGTGGTAATTTATTCAATGAATTAGACGAGTGTCCGTATAAGTGCGACCTACCTCGCCGACCGACCCAACAACTCAGCTCACCGCATAGCTTTAGCTCGAAGTCGAACGGCAAGGCGCGTAGCGCGGCGCTCGCCGATAAATTATCTACACACACTAACGTACTTTAGATCTCATCGAACGTAAATACTAAACACATCGTTTATGTAGTACACAATCTACAAGTGTTTATTTCCTTTGTTATTAATGATTACTCATAAACCATTCGTATGAGTTTAGTATTTCCATGAATATCATAAAGTGTAAATAGGTTATTTATTTTCCTTAGCTACTTTCTTACCTATTCATTATTATAACATAAATGCATAAAATAATTAAGTAGGAATACTAAAAAATCCTTCAAAAATTACAGGGGGTATGGCACTACCTTAGATTATCTTATGTTTTGTGTAACTCAAAAGAGATGGCACACAGCATAGAGAATATACCTAGTCTTTGGCACACAGTAATCTACTTAGGTACCTAGCCAAACTCTTAAGACTTAATGTTAGGTTTATATTATTAATACCTACCTACCATGTTCATACTCTCAATACCTATATAAGTACCTTAATGCATAGGTACCTAATAATAAAACGAACTCTTGTACTTGAACAGGTCTCTGTTGTCAAATTAGCCTACCTTAATTTTCTTTTATTTGAAAATAGGCACTACTCATAGGTATACCTACACATTATGCAAAAAAATACGCAGAACTATCATTTATTCTGTGCTAAAAAGTATTTGTTACAACAGAAATAAATTTAATATTATAATAGATATAAGCTACTTTCTGAAGAATGCCGGTGTCTTATTATAAATATGTAATAATTGGTTATTACTCTGTTATAATAAGTATACTTAAGTTATAGTAAATTAAACAAGCAAATCATAATGAAATTCTCTCTTTCTAGAAGTACAGATACTGGTATCGACGTGTAGCCACACGGAACGGATCACACAAAGGTGTCCGTGATCCGTGCGTGTGTTAGTATATCATCAGTAGTTTAGTTTCATTTTCCGAGAAGTGGCGCAGGCGCAGAGGCGCGCGGGCGAAGGGGCAGGGATCGGCGTCAAGCCCATAATAATATAATCTGGCGGGGCGACGGGTGGGGAAGGGGGGCTGGGCGCCGCCGGCTCTGCCGGACCAGACATCTTGTCGCTGTGAATTATCAACATGGTCGTTATTTTATACAATATCCTTCTATGTTATACAAACGCGCTAAACTACAAAATGTTCTCAAATATTTAGTAAACCTTTTACCTAATAATTTTTCTACTCAGCGTAATGTGCAATGCAGCCTTAATAAATCTTATAAGAGTAATTATAATTTTTCGTAAATTTGATATTTTCATTTTGAAGGTTAAAGGTATGATTAGTATTCAAAAATTTCAAAGAACTTTTTACTGTTTGCTGCTCTACGATGCCATGACACGACTGATGGTGAGCAGCACTATCAACAGTGCGAGGGTATCGTTGTGCTCAACCCAACCGCTTAGCTTAGCGTATAGGTCACATCATCATCATCATCATCATTACAGCCCTTCACAAGTCCACTGCTGAACATAGGCCTCCCCCAAGTAATGCCACAAAGCACGGTCCTGAGCCACCTGCATCCATCGACTTCCTGCATGTCTTACCAGGTCGTCACTCCATCTAGTGGGGGGTCGCCCTACACTACGCCTACCGGTACGAGGCTGCCACTCGAGAACCTTTCTTCCCCATCGGTTATCGGTTCTTCGAGCTATATGGCCGGCCCATTGCCACTTCAGCTTACTAATCCGTTGGGCTATGTCGGTCACTCTGGTTTTACTGCGGATATCCTCATTTCTGAGTCTATCACGCAGAGAAACTCCGAGCATAGCCCTCTCCATAGCTCGCAGGTCACAGAAAGCGTAATAATAAGATATTATTACCATTTCTGTGGTATAGGTGTAAGGGTAAATCTTTCAAATTATGCCTTAAAGCCTTAGATCAATAACTACGTTATTGGTCTGAGAGTTATACGTAGCAGTTGTCCCTTTTGAGAGAGGAGGAGGGGCCTATGTTCAGCAGTGGACTTGTTTGGCCGTAATAGTCCATCAGCCACTTAGCATCACGTAATAGTCCATCAGCCACTTAGCATCACGTAATAGTCCATCAGCCTTAGCACACGTATGCACACTTACTTGCATCACGTAATAGTCCATCAGCCACTTAGCATCACGTAATAGTCCATCAGCCACTTAGCATCACGTGGACTGTAAGATCCGATTGCTAAAACTAATTACATGCCTACTCATTAATTAGCGAAAATCTACGGCGATCGAGAAATAAAATAAAATAATGAAACCGTGTCTGAAGACACAGCTAGCTTTATATGGAAACTTTTCACCAATTTCTTTCAATTATAGTGTTACTAGCAAACGTTGTTTTGATAAAAAGGTATTTCATCACAAATAATATATTTCATCATAACTAAGATAGCACCTATAGCTGAAAAGCTAAAGGAAAGCCGAATGCGTTGGTACGGCCATATCCTTAGGCGAAATGATGACCATCCAATACGTATAGTTTTGAGTATCCCTAACCATCCGCGAGGAAGAGGACGACTACGTACCACCTGGTGGTCAAACATGCAGAAAGAGATCCTGAGAGGAAACCTGAGTACACCGACAAGCCAGAGTGTTGTTATATCTGGCGCAATCGTACAAGGAGACCCGACGCCAGCTAAACCTGGAAGAGGGTTGGGCAAGGAAGAAGAAAGAGTATTTTCATCACAAATAAGTTTGAATCTCTTGGTGTCTGAAACAAATGCACGCTGAATTTAATTAAAGCCGAACGAAAAATTACGATGTTGATGTTACGGTTGAACATAGAGAATATAATCTTTGCGATTGAATGATTTTATCTTATAAAGATACGTTACGTGCAGTAGTCTGTATCGAAGAAGGTATTGTATATTTTAAGTTTGGTAAACCGAAATTTATTTAAAAAAATTGCGATGAAGTTCGTTTGTCCAAGGAAGAACCCCAGTATTTTTAAGTTCTATTATTGTTTATCCATAAGACCGAAAAAAAATTTGGCAAGACTAGTTGACACTGAGCTTTAAGGTGAAATGCCTCACAATGTGTAAATAAATTAGAAGGCAGAAGACAAAAGCGGGCAAAGTAAACGCTCCGTCTCAGCTAAAATGTTCCACTGAAAGCTAACCAACTAATATAAAAATAATGGGATATTCCGTTGGTATGGGTACGGGGTGTGCAGAATGATTCAACTTAGGAATTAAGTAACTTGTTACTCGCTTTACCGTCAAGTAATTTCGACACATTAATTGGTATCATGGTTATCCCCACAAGATAAAGTAAGTCATTAATATAAATTAATAACAGAAAAGGGCCAAGTATTGGGCCTTGAAGAACACCCATAGGTATAACCGATCCAGAGGAACTCTTACTTTTGATAACGACTATTTAAGTTATGTTACTTAAATATAAAGCAATAAGTCTATTTTAACATCATAATGTTGTAGTTTCCAGATTAATGCCTCATAATAAATACAGTCAAAAGTCTAGGAAAGAACACAAAATACTTTAAGCATTTTATGAATTCCCCGAGGCGTTAAAAATATGTTTGATAAGCTCTAAATCGGCATCCGTCATTGAACGGCCCCTTGTAAAACTAAATCGATTGTATTGAGTTATTTATTTTACAAGTTTATTAAAAAACTTGACATAGAATACAAAACTATTTTTTTTTTCAAAAATGCTACTGAGCGTTGTTACTGCAGATATAAGTCTAAAACATGTGACAAAAAATCTGAAGTCGAAAAAAAGCGTTTTTATTTTTCAATTTTCATTTCAATTATTTTAATTACTTTCGAATGCGCATGCAAACTGCAATCCATTTTCCTTTTACAGTTTATTGTATTGTGTAGCAATACTAACAACTAACCGTTAATGGATAAATCCTGCATATTTCCAATATGACTATAGCTACATAGATTGACTCACTCTTTGTTCAAAAAGTGGGTCATCTACTTGGCTACAAGTATTGATAAAATGGTATGAATTGACATAGAGAAAAAAAAAAGTTGAAAATTGCTACAAGTAATCTATAATCTTTCCTTTGTTACAGTTTAGAAATTTTAAGTAGCTCAGCATTCTACAAACGAGGGATTGGGTGCGTACAACGTACGTACGTTGCAACAGATAGACGCTGTTCAAAGCTAGCAGATAATAAGGTATCTTAGTCTTATCAAGGATTAGTCAAACATTAAGGATGATCCATGTTACGCCATGGTTATTTATGATATCGGTTACACACGCCTCTCAGGTGGTCCCACACTGGGGTGGCCGATAATCAGAAAGTTATCAAAAAGTTATCAAAAAGTTATCAAAAAGCCAAGCGTCGAAACCGCGGACGCGGTAATGTAATTCGATACGGGTCTTGTACCATAATCCCTATACTATATCGTAAGGTCAGAGCCGCGTATTCTTCCAACTAATTTTTCCACAGTACGTTAGAGCCGTGGTAGCTCAGATGGTTAGCGCTAGTGAATGCAATCCGGATTCTTCGGAATTCGAAAATAACTGGAAAATCCGGATTTTCCAGAGTTTTATAAATCCGGTTTTTAAGCCTCAAATTCGGATTTTTCGGATTTTAGTGAAAATTGAGTTCAATGGATAATATTTTGCATTTATCCACAAATTTTCATACTAACTAATGAGTAGTTAGGTGTTACGTACTCTAATACGCAAATTCGAGCAATATTTGAATTGGATAGTTAGATATACAGCTCATAATTTTTTTTATAAAATCATTAGACAGTCAAGACACGGTGTCTGCCAGGCAACTGGCAACGTCACTGAAACGGAGAATTAAAGACAGGTGACTCTATAATATTGTCGGTGCCTTATCCAACCCTAATCAATTTTTAAATGAGACTAAGTAGGACGAAGATTAGTTTAAAAACCTACGTATGATGAAATTAAAAATTTGATCTATCAAGCTGCAACCCTGGATTTTGACAATTGCACGACCACGTCGATTAATACGAACTCTATTTCAGAAACTCTGATCCATCGCCGCTCAGTTTTAAAGAAAAGCTCAATCGTCAATTTTCTCTTGCAAGTGTGGGTCAATCATCAACACTAGTCAACGAGTGTAATCAGCGCAACTGATTCACGTTGAAATGGCTTCATTTGAAAACTGTGGAGGTTGTGGAGAACTCCTAAGATCTAAGATCTCGTTTTTTAAAAAAAAGGGTGACTAATATATGTGTACTAAATTATATATATAGCCCTTCTATAGCTTGCTGAGCGACCTTGAGTGTCCTCATACGGCCAGCAGTAAAGGACCACGTTTCAGATCTATAAGTCACCACTGGCAACACGCACTGGTTGTACAGTCCCGTTTTTAGGTTTTGAGATATACTTGAAGAGAAGATGTGTCGTAATTTTCCGAACGCTGCCCATCCGAGTTGAATCCGTCGATTGACCTCTCGGTCCAAGTTGGACTTACCTAGTCGGACTAGTCCATATACGCCAGGCAAAGTGGCAGATTGTACTCTTTGGTCTTCTGTACAATCTTCCGTAGGATATGTATGTGGTCTATGGTACTGAAGCCTATTCGAAAACCGGCTTGCTTGGGAGACTGGAAGTCGTCGAGTCTGCGTGCGAGACGATTCGTAATGGCTCTCAAAAACGGCACGTAGACGCGGCTTAGAAGGGAAATTGGTCTGTAGTTCTTCAAGAGAGCGTTGTCACCTTTCTTGAGGAACACCACCACTGCACTTCTGCTCCACACCTCCGTAGTGCCACCATGGAGGAGGAAATTAAACAGCTTCTCAAAGACTTCAAGTACCGGTTTCAGTCGCTTTCAAATGTTCCGCTATGATTGCAATCTCGCCTGGGACCTTGCCGTTTTTAAGGTGCTGGAGAGCCATTCTAATCTCGCTTAGATTGACGTCCGGTATATCATCGGAACAGTGTCGGATAAGACTTGCTCTTGGATCGTTACTCACACTTCCGTGTGGCTCCAACGATGATGTGTCCCATATAACCTCTCAATCTCACTCAAAATCTCGAGTATCCCGGAAACGATACCATCACACTCAGTCTTCAGCATTGAAAGTTGGCTCTTTCTGACGGACAGATCTCAAGCAAAGACTTCGGAGCCCTGGTTCCGCTCAATCGCTTCTTCAATACGAGCTGTATTGAAGTTGCGTCAGTACTGCCGCATGTATTTGGAGATCTGTCTGTTCAGTTGCCTGTATGCTGTCAATTCTGCTGATGATTGCAGCCTCACCTATCGTCTAACAGCCATGAGATTAAGAGTGTGATCGGAGAGTTTTTGTGTTCTTCTGCGGCGGGTCATGCAGAACTTAGCTCCAACCGCATGGACAATTTCCGCGAGCTTGTCATTCATATTGTCCACTGTATTGCAATCTTCCAGGCACTGACAACGGTTTTGTAACTCCAGCTGAAAGGTTTCGGGACTTTTCGACAGAGCGTTGACTTCATTAGACTAGACCTCTTCAACTTAACGTTTAGGTTCAGTGTGCCTCTAACCATTCACTGATCGCTGCCAGTTTTCAACCTTGCGATCACTGAGACATCACTGTACAGTTGCCGTGGAGTCGTCATAATGAATTCAATCTTATTTTTTGCCGAACCGTCGGGGCTCTACCAGGTCCAGTTTCTGTGGGACCACTTCTGAAAGAAAGAGTTCATCATAAAGAGTCCCTCTTTCTCCATGAAGTCGGCCAGCTGCTGGCCCCTTGGGTTCCGTTGCCTTATCCCAAATTTCCCTACCTTCAGCTCACCGATTTTTCTTATGCCTAGCTTTGCGTTAAAGTCTCCCATTAATACCGTATAGTGGGTTTTTGAGAAATGCATGGCTCTAGAAATATCCTCATACATTTCCTCCACCTCCTCACCGGGATGTGCCGACGTTGATGCGTAAACCTGTACGACCTTCAGCGAATACCGTTTGGTGATTCTGAGTATAAGGTACGCAACCCTCGTCGACACACTCCCAATCTTTATAAAGTTGTTAACCAGAGACTTGTGGACGATAAATCCAACACCTCCTTGGGACAGATGGACATCTTCCCGTTGATAGAACGAGTTGTCGGATTCGAGAATCACCGTGTCCTCCTCCTCTCTTCAGACCTCGGATAATCCTATAGTATTCCAACACAACTTGTCTATCTCTTCTTCCAGCTCCAGGATCTTCTCGTCAGTCCTCAGGGTGCGTGTGTTGTAATTTGCCAGATCGAGTCGTTTTAGGTAGCAACTGAACCTCTACCGGAGATTCTTAACACCCTAGCATATGCCCCGCCGTTACCATGGTCGCCGCCGTAGCCTGGAATATCGGGCCGCTGGGGACTGAGGGCCGTCTATTTGCGTCTTTTCTCATGGTAGGTATATAGCCATAGTTGCCACGCTTGGCGAGCGGTTTGGCAACCGCAGTTTTTTTGTTGTACAGTTGCTGCTATCAGGAAGATGCTGCTGCCCATCTCCTGCCTGTTTCCCTCTGTCGCCTTTTAAGACACCCATGGGAAGATATGGGGTAGTGGATATTCTTAACCGCCACTACACGGTTACACCATGGTTTTTGTTTATTTTGGTTGATTTTATTCCGTCGTATCTGAATAAATGCAGATTTTAAATGATTTATGCTGTTTTATTTTAGTTTTATTAAATCACCTTAAAACTTCGAAAAATCCGAATTATCCGGATTTTAATCATAGAAAAATTCAAAATCCGGATTTCAAAAATATCCGGATTTTGCAATCTCTA